TCCATGAGATCAGGGGCTTCTCTGCCTTGTCCCCCATGTCCCAAGGGCCTGGACATGGCCTGGTGCACGGGAAGTGCTCAGCCATCAGGAAGCTCTGTGTGTGCACATGTGGGCTATGGACATACATGCATGTGCACACACATGTAGGTGTGTGTGGCTGGTACCCACAAGAGAAGACGGCCCCCTTTTCTCTTCTTTCTCCTAAGCAAATGAAATCCTGAAAACCAGAACCCTCTCAACCTTCAATCATACCAGGACACCTCTGCTTCTGCCTTCACCCCAGCTGACACCAGGCTGGGAGCCCCACTCATCACAGAGGCACGTGTTCTCATCTGCGGTCCCTTGTGTGATGTGCATTTATGGGCTTGGACCTGTGTGTGTGCCTGGGGATCACCTAGGTAAGTGGCTCCCTTCTCTGTGCCCACTACCCACTCTACAGGCCAAAAACGAGAGGAATTACCCCATCTTCTATGAGTTGCTGGCCGGGTTGCCTCCCCAGCCCCGGCAGGCCTTCAGCCTGCAGGAGGCCGAGACCTACTACTATCTGAACCAGGTGAGTGCCAGCAGGCATCTGAAGGCCCCCAGCCCTGGTACTCCCACCCCGACACCCCTGGGTGGGCCGAGGGAGCCCAGTTGTGAGTGATGGAATGTGAAGGTGATGGAGATTTGGGGAGGGTGAGTTTGGATTTAAGACATCTCATCACAGTAACGGGGACCAGGAATTTTCTGGGTCCAAAGCAGAAGCAGGAAAGGCCTACCTGACTTCATTTCTCTGGAACCTGGATCAGAACCAACCAGCCTAGAGTGACTACACTTCCCCTCGCTGTGCCTCAGTTTCCTCATCTGTGAAATGGGGCCAACATAGTACCACTTTGCAGGGATGTAGTGAGGCTTAGATGAGGAAATGCAGGTAAAGAGCTTAGCACAGGGCCTGGTGTGCAGGACATGCTCAGTAAACACTGACTATTCTTTTCATTATTATCACTGGGCAGCTGCAAAGATCAGCAAGTGACAACCCCTGCCACACATTGCACTTAGAATCCATGAATCCCATCCTCAGCCCTGCTCAGAGCCTCTGTGCCCATGAGAGTGGAATGAGAGCTTGAGTGACCAGCTCAAGCCACACTGCTGGTTAGGGCAGATCAGGACCCGGAGGGCTCTGCAGTGCCCCCCAAGCTCCGTGACCCTCAGCCTTTGTCCTCACTCAGGGTGGGAACTGTGAGATTGCAGGAAAGAGCGATGCAATGACTTTCGCTGACTCCTGGCTGCCCTGGAGGTGCTGAGCTTCAGCAGGGAGGACCAGGACAGCATCTTCTGCATCCTGGCCTCCATCCTGCACCTGGGCAACGTCTACTTTGAGAAGTATGAGGTGAGGGGTGCCACAGCCTGCCATGGGCTCGCACCCTCTGGACTTGGCCATCTTTTCCAAGGCCTTATCTGTTCCCCTTTCAGATTACACTATGCACACATCACTTGTCCTGTTGTTTTTTTCCTTTGGGCTTGTTCTTCTTTCTCCTCCTTGTAGAAAGCTACCTCCACCTCCCAGGCTCAAGCCATTCTCCTGCCTCAGCCTCCCGAGTAGCTGGGATTACAGGCGCACACCACTATCACCCCGCAAATTTTTGTATTTTTAGTAGAGATGGGGTTTTACCGTGTTGGCCAGGCTGGTCTTGAACTCCTGGTCTCAAATGATCCACCCACCTAAGCCTCCCAAAGTGCTGGGATTATAGGTGTGAGCCACTGTGCCCAGCCCTTTGGTGGTTTTCTTATGCAAATTGTTTTAAAATTATTTTTAGGCAGTTCATTTATCAATATCTTTTCTTGTATATTTACACTTTACATTTGAAATTTTAAACTTCTTTTATTTTTAGAAAAACTTCTCTTTCTAAAATTGTAACAGCCTTCTCCCATACTTTTTCTAAGACTTTTTATGGATTTTGTGGGTTTTAAAAAACATTTAAATCTCTGATCCATCCGAATCTATCGTAGTAAGGTGGGAGGTAGGAATCTGATTTTTTTCCCCAGATGGTTACTCAATCGTCCTAATCTCTTGATTTGAAAAATGCATCTCTGTGGCTGGGTGTGGTAGCTCCCGAGTATAATCCCAGCACTTTGGGAGGCCCAAGCGGGTGGATCACGAGGTCAGCAGATCGAGACCATCTGGCTAACCCACTGAAACCCTGACTCTGCTAAACTACAAAAAATTAGCTGGGCATGGTGGCACATGCCTGCAGTCCCAGCTAATCGGGAGGCTGAGGCAGAGGAATCACTTGAACCCGGGAGGCAGAGGTTGCAGTAAGCCGAGATTGTGCCACTGCACTCAAGCCTGGGTGACAGAACAAGACTCTGTCTCAAAAAAAAAAAAAAAGAAAAGGAAACAAAAAGATATCTTTATTAGCTGGGCATAGTGGCTTACACCTGTAATCCCAGCAATTTGGGAGGCTGAGGAGGGTGGATCATGAGGTCAGCAGATGGAGACCATCCTGGCTAACACGATGAAACCCCATCTCTACTAAACAAAAAAATTAGCCAGGTGTGGTGACACACACTTGTAGTCCCAGATACTTGGGATGGTGAGGGAGGAGAATTACTTGAACTTGGGAGGCAGAAGTTGCAGCCAGTGAGATAACGCCATTTCACTCTAGTGTGGGTGACAGAGTGAGACTCTGTCTCAAAAAAAAAAAAAAGATAGAACAATACATTTTTATCATGTGCTAAGTTAATATATACATTTATGTCTCATTCCAGACTTTCTATCATGCTTCGTTAATCTATGTACTATGTCTATGACTATGCTTTTTTTCCTTTAATTGACTTTTTTTTTGTTTTTTATTTTTATTATTTTATTTTATTTTTATTATTATTTTTAGATGGGGTTTCACCATGTTGGTCAGGTAGGTCTTGAACTCCCGACCTCAGGTGATCTTCCCACCTTGGCCTCCAAAGTGCTTGGATTACAGGCATGAGCCACCACGCCCGGCCTGTTTTTTATTTTTTGAGATAGGTCTCACTCTATGGCCCAGGCTCGAATACAATGGCACTATCATAGCTCACTGCAGCCTCGACCTCCCAGATCCAAGCAAGCCTCCTGCCTCAGCCTCCTGAGTAGCTAGGACTACAGGTTTAGGCCACCATGTCCAGCACATTTTTTAGACAGGTTATCACTATGTTGCCAGACTGGTCTTGAGCCCTCAGCCTTAATTGATCCTCCTACCTCAGCCTCCCAAAGTCCTGCGATTATTACAGCTGATGGTTTTAAAATGTGGCACTTCCTCCTTCTCCACTCAGTACCTCCTGCCGCCGTGTGAAGAAGGTGACTGCTTCCCCTCTGCCTTCTGCCGTGATTGTAAGTTTCCTGAACTGCCAGTCAATTAAACCTCTTTATAAGTTATCCAGTCTCCAGTATCTCTTTATAGTAGTGTGAAAACAAACTAATGTAGACCCCTTCTCTGAGGCGCCTTCTCCTTAGGCCACCAGCTGCCCCCATGCTCCTCCTCTGCCCCCTGGTCTTGCTTTTCCCCTCATTAGGCCCAAGTGATCCACGTGGCCAGTCTAGCTCCATCCTACTGGGGGCCTGTGTGGCTGCTGGAGAGGCCGGGCTCCTTTCCTCACCCCGAGGCTGCCTGATGTACTCTCTGAATTCTGGAGGAAACTGACCCCCTATCCTCATGCTGGTGTGACTTGTTCCAATACCTCAAAGCTGGACGATATGAGCCAGTCTTTTTTCTCATCTTCCCTTGCTAGGGCTGTCCTTGGGCCAATAGATGAATGGATGGATGAATGGACAGTAGTCCAGGGAGGATGTCCCTGTCTGTCCTAAACTGGGCCTTCTTGAGTGAGTGTATACAGTCATCCCCTGGTATCCATGGAGGATTAGTTCTAGGGTCCCCGGGGATTCCAAAATCCATGGATGACCAAGTCTCTGATATAACATGGCCTAGCGTTTACATATGACCTATGCACATCCTCCCGTATACATTAGACCATCTCTAGATTAGTTATCATACGTAATACAATGCAGATGCTACATAAATGGTTGTGTTACTGTATTGTCTAGGGAATGATCATGAGGACAAGGTCTGCACATGTTCATTGAGACATAAGCATCCGATTTCTTTTCTGAATATTTTCCATCCACTGTTGGCTGAATGCACAGATGCAGAGCTCCCAGATATGAAGGCTAACGGTGCTTTGAGAGTAGGATGGGTGAGGTTGCTAATGAGTACAGGGGAGCAGGTGTCCAACAGGAGGACCCTGCATTGGGCATCTGGACGCCCTGTCTCAGTTACTGAGCCTCCCATTTTGGATGGTACAAGCAGACTTAGCCCAGGTCAAAGCCCGCCCCTTGAATGTTCTTTTTGTCCCAAGCTCTTTCTGTCCCCTGGAATTTGGCATCCCATAGGCCTTGGGTGGAAGGACAGATGAGCCAGATTTCAGAGAACATGTCTAGAAGAGTGAGCCCCTACTGTGTGCCGGGCACATTCCCCACCCGATCCTCTAGCTAGAATAACCAAGGGTTGTGGAGAGAAACACCCAATTAAAATATCGAAAATAAAAAAGAGATACCACTAGAGATAGTATTTTAAGGCCATTAGAGACACTAAAAAGTCCATTAGGTAATAGTATTAGCATTTTGACTCTGAGATTCAACAGCAGCAGTCATTTTCCTCCACCTATGTGTAGCCCAAGACCACCCTGGGCAGGGAGGACTGAGGTCAGGGAGCACCCGTGGATGCTCTGATGCTGGCCCTGGGCCCCAGGGGTGACAGTGATGAGGAACTGGGTGCACACATGAGTGGGGTGGCCAGGCCTGGCCAGAGAAGCAACATACATGTGCACAGATACATTTACCCACATACACATGAGCACCCAGGTGCACAGACACATTGCACAAAGGTGTGTTGATGCCTCAGGTAGTGGAGGACTCTGACTCTGGGCCCTGCTGACCCAGGCGAGGCCCCATTGTGATGCATGCTATGATCTCAGAATGCTACTTGGGCCTAGCATGTCTGCTCTCAGGCCTGCCTCTGTGTTCTACAGCGGCTACACACACACAGTAGTGTCTGTGAGCACTTCTGTGTACTCAAAGGTTTTCTACCCGAGAGGCATAACCCAGGCCAGCTGATTCATCAGAATCAGGTGAGTGTGACCTGCTCTCTTCACTTCATGCTGACTTGGGGACAGTGGCTACGGTGTGGGCTGTGCTGGCCTCTGGGCAGCTGCCAAGGAGAGTGATCCCTGAGCACTCAGTGGGTGCCTCTTCTATGCTCCCTGTGTAGACAATTGTCTCTTTCATCCCCATGGTGGCTCCATAGGGTGGGTGCTGTCCCGAATGTACCCATTCGACTGCTGAGCTTCTGGGGTCAGAGAGGCAGTAACCAGTCTGGGAATCCAGACGTGACCATGGGTTTTGCTCTCAGCCCTGCCTTGTGCTGAGAGGGACTTCAGGCCTGAACCCTGTGGCCTTCTTGCTCTACATCCCAAATCTGTTCAGGGTTTTCCATCCCGATGGGGCAGAAACTGGCCCTGGCAGAGCCACTGGGACGAATCCACAAATTGACTGGCATGAATCATCAAAACACCTCTGTGGCCTAAGCTGGGTCCTGATGGTCGCTGTGGGACCCACTGGACACACACAGTCTCTTGTCCAGGAGTGAATGGGGAGCCTTGGCCTTTGGGCAGTTGTGGAAAATGAAGAATCCCTGAAGGGCTGGCTGGAGGGAGACTTTCTCTCCTCCTCTTCAAAGGGTCCAGGCACTGAGGTTCTCCCCAAGTATTTCCTTCTCTGTCTGGTCCTGTCGAGTCCTCACCCTCCTTTTGCCCCGAGTGTCCCCAGGAGGGATGGTCCATCTAGGTGTTCTCCAGGACCAAGGACCCACTGTTCTTCCTCAGTGACCCAGGGAGATGAAGCCCCCTCCTATATGGAGAGCTTAGAATGGTGGAGTCTGCCGTCCCTTCCCCAGAGACGTGGTTTCCTCAAGCACAGAGGCTGCTTTGGAGACAGTAGATCATTTTCATGCCCCAAATCAAACACCCTCCTGCTCAACTGGCGTTATTCTTAAAGTGGCTTCGCTGCTCCGACTGAAGGGCCACGGTAGCCCAAGTGATGACTGGAGTAGGACGGAGCAGTCAGTAGAGATCCTGTTCCCTGTGGAAAACTGGACATCTGTCTGGTCCCTGAGAATCCCAGGAGGCCGACTGTACAGAGACCCTTGGTCCCTGACCCCAGTCTGCCTCCACATGTATGGAGTAGCCCATCATGGGCCCTTCGATTTCAGCAAGGGGACACCATTCAACCTGCCAGGGCAGGTGTGTCCCCATTTCATGGCATTTAGGGAAAACGGGATTCTCTGACCAGGTCCCACTGTTCTCACATCCTTGAGAAGATGCCCACTCCTGCTTGGGGCTTGATCTCACCTCTACTGAGGAATCAGGGGGCCAAAACTAATGATTTACAGAATTCTCAGGTTCTGGTCCTAGCAGGGGTCGCCCCTTGTCCAAGTCACCAGATCGTTTTCTGCCTGCAGCTGGTTCGCCATGTTTACAAGGGCATTCCCATGGATATCTGGTGCCAGGTGTGGTCAGTCCTCCTCAACATCGATGATATCAAGGGGAAAAAACCCAGCACATACCAGGTACGCTAAGCCAGAGCACAACAAACAGGTCAAGCCATGTCAGGGGCCCAGGTCTCCAGCTGCAGGGAACAAACATCAAGCCCCGCTTGGGCGGGGGGGGGGGGGGGCGGTGTGTGTGTGTGTGTGTGTGTGTGTGTGTGTGTGTGTGTGTGTTGGCCAGATGCACATCCTGGGCAAAGACAGCGACATAGGCACCACAGATGAGCTCGGCTTTGGGGACGCTCTCTGGCTTCGGAAACAAGCTGAAAAGCAGCTTTCTGCAGAAGGAAATCCCTTCTTCCCTTCCTTCTGGAAGTGCTGACTGTGGGACAACTGCCCTATGGGGCAGGGAGTCTTCTGTCTGTTCTGAGGCTGCTTCCTCCTCTTGGCCCTGCCCTATAACTCATGAAGGAGAAGGGGAAGAGGTCCTGTGAACAGGTGCACCAGATCGACCTGGATGTGAGGAAGACACTCAGAAGACACTTTCTTTTCCAGGAGCAATATGGCCTCAAGTAAGCCCACGGGAGCCACAGGGCCCCAGCGGAGATGGGCAGGGTGAACCAGAGAGATGAGGACTTCCCTGGAGTAGAAGCCAGGGTCACCCAGGTGGGATGACAGAGCTGCCAAGGGCTCTCCTGCCCCAGGGAGCAGCCGGCACCAGGGACTGAGCAGCTCCCAGGTTCCAAACCCTGGGCCAGGCTGGAACATGTGGGGCCAGAACCCAAGAGGACCCTGAGGAGACAGAAAGCAGCAAAAAATATCATGCACAATGGGGATAAGTGCTCTCCCTGACCCATGGGGCCCCATGGTAGCACCCACGGGAGGGCGGCAGGATGGAGGGACCCAGGCAGCACTGACAGCACCAAATGCTAGGGGCACTCAGGGTCCTGGAAACTCTCATCCAGGTCTGCTGGGAACGTGACATGGCACAGCCACTTTGGCCACCAGTTGGGCAGTGGCTTATAAAGCTCAATGCACTTGAACCACATGTCCCCAAAGTGTCACAGATATTGAACCCAATGACTTGGAAACTGATGTACACATGAAACCTGCATGCCACGTTCACTGCTTCATTCATCGTCACTCACACACAGAGCCTTTGGGGACGACCGTCAGCATGGGAATGGGGCGAGGAAGGTTGGTTCTGCCTTGAAGCAGTGAGAAAAGGGAACAAGCCGGTGATGCCCACATGAACGTGGGTGGAACCTAGATGCATTTTGCTAAGAGAAAGAAGCCAGACTCAAAAAGCTACCACTGTAGGATTCCCATTCATAGGCCATTCTGGAAAAGGGCGAACCAGAGGGACTGAGAACCGGTCTGGGTGACCAGGAGCTGATGGAATGGGGAAGGTGGGCTGCATAGAGGCCACTCTGGAGACTTGAAGGATGAAGGAGTCGCTCCCGGAGGGGCTGGAGCAGTGGCCGGAGACTCTGCACATTGGGTTAGAACGGTGGCAGAACTGTACACCCAAAGACTGAACTGGCGTGTGTGCAAACTGAAAAAGAAATCAATCAAAGCAAAAATGATTACTCAACTCACTGTCCAACTGGGATATGTGCATTTCATAGATGTGGACTTTACTGAAACATTTCTTAAACAGTCAAAGGCCCGGGAGCACTCACTGCTTGTCTGGTGAATCATCTGAACCTGAAATGGGATTTGTTGTTAGGGTTTGTAGACAAAGTGAAACTAATAGCATCTCCACAAAAGAAACGAAAGCCCCCTTTCTCTGTCTCCTAGGCAGCAGGAACTATTCCACGTCCTGCTGGCCTATGCAGAGTATAATCCGGTGAGTATTCCGGGCAGTGACCATATTCCCATATTCACGGCCATATTCCCGGGTCATATTCCCATGATCACTGGCGTGGGTGTCTAGTGGGGGTGTCGTTGCTTCTTTCCAAGTCAGTATTTGTGAGCCACCAGGATACAGAAGGCATGACTCTAGCTCACCGCTGGCATAAACCTCCAAGCAAGGGGGGTGGTCTCAAGGGGTCAACCTGAGTCACAAAAGAGTCAGGGCCCTGACTCCTGGTGTCACCTGGGCCTGACAGAGCAAGAAATGACACCTTCCTCCTGGGGCTGCCCCAAAGCCCAGGAGCCTGGCGGTGTCGCACGCAGGACAGTGCTCTCAGGAGACATTTTGACCAATTGCTGAAGTGCCTGATGGACATCGCTCTTGTCACGAAATGAAATGAATTTGCATCCCGAGGAAGCTGCTTCTTCAGAGGAAGCCTCCCCAGTCACCTCTGTCCTCTCCAATGACACGAGTCCTCCCAGGTGACCTCAGCACCCGGGTGATATCCTTCCATGATGATGTCCTTCCACGGTGACTCTGGCTCTTGCAGGAGGTGGGCTACTGCAGAGACCTGAGCCAGGTGGCCACCTTGTTCCTGCTGTACCTTCCCAAAGAGGACGCATTCTGGGCACTGGCACAGCTGCTGGCCAGTGAGAGGCACTCCCTGCAGGGTAGGTGGACAGGTGCCCCTGGGGCCTCTTGCTACCAAACCCGGGGATGGCCACCCTGGCCAGGTGATCACAACTTTCAGTGAAGGCACCTTCCTGTGTCGCCAGCTTGTTGGGAGCCTTTAGGATGTCTCTGCTGAGGGTCCCACAGGAGCTGGAGGCTGACCCCCGGAGCCCAAGCCTTTCATCCCCATCAGCAGAGGGCATCTCATCCTCCCCATGGCTGACCTCGGTGTCCTGGAGCCACACCCTCCGGCTCTGATTCTGTGCAGCTGACTCTCTTCTCCCTGACAGTCTTCCTGCCCTTCAGTTGCCTGGGCTGCAGCTGCCCTTGGTCCCCACGAATGGGCTGACTGAGCCCAGAGGGCAGCATCTTCCCATCCCGTGTCCTCTGGCCTGACGCCACTTCCAGGAGACGACCACGAAGGCCAGCACCCACTGTGTTCTGGCCGCCCTCTGTCCTGACCTCAAAGTCAGCCTTGCCCTCCCAGCACCCTGGCCCAGGAGGCCTCCAGGAGCACCTCCAGCCAGGCTCCAGGAGATGTTCCCACCCCTTCTCCCCAGGTCCAAAACTGCATGCTGGGGTCAGCAGATGGGAGGGTGGGAGGCCTCGTGGATTTGGGGCTTCTGCAGCTCTCCAGCTCTTCCAGCTGATGGCTCCACATCTTGGGAGAGGGCTCTGATTTCATGATGGGCTGGGGGCTTCTCAGGATTCCACAGCCCAAATGGCGGGACAGTCCAGGGGCTCCAAGACCATCAGGAGCATGTGGTGCTCTTGTCACAACCCAAGACCATGTGGCATCTGGTGAGGTTATGGTCCTCTGACTCTTCTTCAGAGGCCCTGCATCACGTGGGCTGGAGGAGCAGGGGGGCTGGAGCCCCTCCTGGGGCTGATGACAGGCTGAGTGGCAGCCAGGGCCTGACCTGGGACATGGGGTTCTCTGTGGGCTGGGATTTGGGGTTTTTTTCCAGCCATGGAAGAGACAGAGGTACAGGAACTGAGACCCAGCTCCCGCAGAGCAGGGCCAAGGGCAGTGTGTTTCCTGGGAGTGCAGGAAGGGGAAGGTGTTGTGGGGAGCCCCGGACACCGCCCAGTGTTCTGCACTTAGGGAGGGGTCTTCAGTGGGCCCTGGAAGAGGGAGGTTTCTAGAGCAGCCCAGGGGGCCCTGAGAACCTCTGTTCCTCCCATTAGGACAAGGAAGGACGAGGCGCACAGGGTTCCTCATTAGGCTGCCTTCTCCAGATGCTCAATGATGAGGTAAGGAGGCACAGGGCATCTCGGGGACCTTCCTTGCCCTGCAGTGCCTGCTCACCCCCGGCCCACAGGAGGCACATGCAGGTCCCCACAGGACACACAGCAAGACCCTCTGCCCCACAGGTATCATCCCAATGCAGAGGCAGGGGCTGGGGACCAGCCTCATGACAGACTGGCCCAGGATCTGACTTGGGAGGGCGAAGGGAAGCCTCGAGCCCCTCTCTCCAAAAGCCACATCCCCACTGAAATGAATGCCCCCCATGAGGAGCTGCGAGACCTTGTCTGACCCAGCCTCCCGGGGGGGTCAGGCCACCCTCATGGGGAGGGTCACTGACTCTGGGGACTGAAGCCCCAATGGGCCCAGCTTGAGCCCCAGCCTCAGCCTGGAAGGGCCAGGTCCTCACACACCTGCTGTCCCCACATATCTCTCTCGGCCTCACCCTGCGCCTGTGGGATGTCTATCTCATGGAGGGGAAGCAGGCGCTGATGCCCATAACGAGAACCATTTTCAAGGTTCAGAGGAGTAAGTCAACCTGTGACCTGGGGAGCACTGGGGTCAGAACCCAGTTGACCCGAGGGAGCTTCCTCACACTGTCCTCATGATCCTCTGTTCTGGCCCAGAGGGAGGTCTGGCCGGGTGGGCTGGGAGGGCACAGTGACACTGAACCCACCCCCCACATGACCCAGATGAAAGTCGGGAGTGTGGTGAGCACTGCCCTGCCCAGGCCGTCCCCCAGCCACAGCCTCCTGTGCACATCTGAACCCCTGGGGTGGTCACAAAAGGATCTGGCACCGCCCAGTGAGAAACTGAAGTGGCCAGGGGGTATGGGCTCTGACCCCTCCCAGGGAACTCTCCTGGCCTGATGCCCACCCTGTCCCTAAAGCCCTTCCTGAGAACATCGAGGTCTGGCCTGTGGGCACGTTTTCGGGACTTGTTTTCCCATACCTGGGTGTTGAATGATGAAAAGGTGTTGAAAGATCTTTGGACCTCCAGGCAAAAAATGACAAAGAAGCACGAGGACCTGCCATCCTCCAGTGCCAGGTCCCCTCCCGAGTCACCCTCTGGGGAAGTCAATAGTGGGGGAATGCCTGGGACCCCCAACCCTACTACCTGGCCCTCCCTCTTCAGCCTTTCTTCCTCCTCTTCCTCCTAGACTGTAAGAAAGTACAGTAGGCCCACCGGTCCTCAGGGCAAGCGCTCAGTGCGTGTGGACTGGACGTGCTGTGCACGCAGGAGGGGGATGTGGGCAAGACCCTCCAACAAGCCCCCTTCCACTTTCCATGGTGGTCCATTGTCCCCCTCATGGGGCCCTTGAGAGCACTGGAGGAGCCAGATCCATTTGTAAGAGCCCCCGTCCCTCCCTGTGAGCACTGACAGCCTCAGAGAGCAGCAGAGGCCCCTAACTCCTGCACACACCTTCAAGGGTGCCAGGACCACAACCTTGACCCAGGGAGACAAGGGAATCAGTGTTCCTGACCCCTAGAGCATTCAGGGACAGGACACAGGTAGGATCCCGGGCCCAGAGCCAGAGCCCAGAGTTCAGCCAGATGTGGGAACGGTCAGTGCTGGCATGGACTGGGAAGTTCAGGAGAGCAGAGGGTGACCCACGTCCAGGCCCAATCAGGTCCCCATGGGAGGTGGCAAGGGGGCTGGGTGACAGCCAAGGCCCCTCTCACCTGAGTTCTGCCTGGGGGCTGTAGCCCTGGGAGGAGGGTGTGTGGCAGGAAGCCCCCAACCAGCCTGAACCCCAGGGGGCAGTCCCAGGAGCCACCTGCCATGCCCTGACGGTGTCCTCACCCCAGGTGGCATGTTCCCCTCCCTCTGGGATCAGCAGACTACAGGTGTGTCCTCAGTGTCAGATCACAGGGGCCACACAGAGCCCCCCAGGACTGCAGAGACCCAGGCATGTGGGGCCCAGCCCGGAAAGGCCTGCATGGGCTCACTGGAGACGCCGACTGTACCTGTTTTCCTTTCAGCCAAACCCGAGGAAGGGTCCTCAGCACCCAGGCCCATGCTGGCTTCACCTGGCAGGAACACCCACTGCAAGGGGGACAGTCAGCCCCCTCCCAGCCCAGCAACCTGGTTCCAGCGGCCCAGTTGGTCAGCTCCCCCAGCATGGCCAGCTTGTTCTTTCCCACCCTGTCCTGGTGGGGCTGTCTGTGAAAACACCTACCCTGGGGGCGCTCAGGGTGTGTCTAGCCTGGCCCTTGCTCAGGGAGGACCCCCCCATTCCTGGTGATTCATAGAATGGAATTCTATGCCCCAGTTCCCGACCGACCTAAATGTGGGGGGCCCTTGGTTCCCCTGGTATCATTTTGAAAAGAGCTGCTGGGTCCGTGTCCCTTCTGACTGTGTCCTGGACATCCCTGGGACCACGGGACAGGCCTAGCCCAGGAAGTCCATGGGGACCCTGACACCGGGCCCTGCCCAGGCCTATCAGGACTAAGAGGAAGGTCGGGAGATATCCCCACTGCAACATGGGCACCTGTATTTGGCCCCTTCACCAAATGACTGTGACTGGAAGGAGCCAGGGGGGCACCCCACAGGCTCCCAGCCCTAATCCTAACACTAACCCTGACCCTGACCCTGACCCTAATCCTAACCCTAACCCCACAGCCCCAGACACCTTGGAAAATCCCATTCAATGGGGAGCCTTGTCCCATTAAGGCCACGAGAGAGAGAGAGAGAGAGAGAGAGAGAGAGAGAGAGAGAGAGAGAGAGAGAGAGAGAGAGAGAGAGAGAGAGAGAGAGAGAGAGAGAGAGAAAGAACATAGGAGCATGGCATCCCTGCAGCCCTGGCCAACCAGCAGCATGCCCCAGGGCCTCTGTACAAACCTGTGGGAGTGTTCCCCTCCCAAGGCACAATTCCCAGGCCAAGAGGGGCCTGGCCTAGACCCCCAGCCCTGGGACGAGAGGGGCACCAGGGGTATGTTGGGCTCCCAGCTGTAGTCAGCGTGACCATGCCGGGGACCCTGGCACTGGAGAGCTCTGCCACTGTCCCAGAACGAGGCTAAAAGCCTTGCAGCCACTGCTGCAGCTTCGCCACCACCAGCTGCCTTCCAGCTGCCAGTGCAGGCTTTCCCAGTACTCCCACCGAAGAGAATTACAACGGAGGATGATGTTGGTCCTGAGCTGAGCAAAACAGCACACCCTGTGGATGGAGCCGGCTTCTTTCCCGGCCACCTCGTTTGCTGGATGGGCCCACGGAAGAAGTGGCCTTGAGACGGGCATGGGGACTAAAGAGGCTCAGCATCCTGCACCTGCCCTTACCAAGGCTCACCAGGCTGACACCACTGCTGACCACCTTTATGCTGTAAAATAAACGTTTACTGGTGAAAAGATTTTGCACGTGTATCTGCCACCCAGCTGCCCCGAATAATGACGTTTTGCATTACCATGGCACACTTGTCAAAAGGAAGAAATTTAGGCCAGGTGTGGCGGCTCATGCCAGTAATCCCAGCAATTTGATAGGTGGAGGCGGGAGGTTCAGGAGTTTGAGAACAGCCTGGGCGACACAGGTAGACCCTGTCTCTAGAGAAAAGTCAAAGAAATTAGGCAGGCGTGGTGGTGTGTGCCTCTAGTCCCACTGAGTCAGGCGGCTGAGGAGGGAAGATTGCCTGAGCCCGAGTTCCAGGAAGCAGTGAGCTATGATCAATCACAGCCTCCACTCCAGCCCAAGTCACAGAGTGAGGCTTTATGTTAAAAAAAAAAGGAAGTTAACGGGGTGCAATCCTATTAACTAAATGATAATGTGAACCATTATCTAAGGTTATTAATGCAGTAATTATATGAATATGGTGACATTTATTCAGATTTCACCCATTTTTGTCTAACTTCTCACACCGGTCCCAAGATCCCACCTCGGACTCACCCTCTGCCTTCAGCTCATGTCTTCTCGGCTTCCTCCAGATGGTCCCGCCAAACACGCACCTGGGCTGGAGGTAGAGCTGATTGCTCCTGGGCTCCATGCCTCCGCAGCATGTTACCATACTGAGTACTGCGGACGTTGGGAACATAATGGTGGCTATCTGTGTGAACACAGAAAAGGATCCTAGAATTACAGTATAAACAATAAAAATGGTACACCTGGCCAGGTGGTTCATGCCTATAATCTCAGCACTCTGGGAAGCCAAGTTGGATCACTTGGGCCCAGGAGTTCTAGACTAGTCTGTGCAACATAAGAAGACCCCATCCCATCTCTCGCTTTTTGTTTTGTTTTGTTTTGAGACGGTCTTTCTCTGTCGCCCAGGCCAGAGTGTGGTGGCGCGATCTCAGCTCACTGCAACCTCTGCCTCCCAGATTCAAGTGATTCTTCTGCCTCAGCCTCCTGAGTAGCTGAGATTACAGGTGCATGCCACCACACCTGGCTAATTTTTTGTATTTTTAGTAGAGATGGGGTTTCACCATGTTAGCCAGGTTGGTCTCCATCTCCTGACCTCGTAATCCGCCCACCTTGGTCTCCCAAAGTGCTGGGATTACAGGCGTGAGCCACCACGTCCGGCCACCCCATCTCTTGTTAAATATCAGTTTTTAGAGACTGTACACCTGTATAGGGCAGCTCCATTATAACCTTATGGGACCACCATCCTATATGTATTCTGGCATGGACTGAAGTGTCGTTATCTGACAGGCGATTGCATAAGTAATCTAGAGGTGATTTAAAGTATATGAGAAGAGGTACTTAGATCATATGCAAATACTGCACCGTTTTATATCAGGACTTGAGCATCTGTGGATTTTGATATCTATGGGAGATGATGAAACTGATTCCCTATATACATTTCAGGCCCCACGAAAGGCTCAGATACCTGCACCCCAGCCCCAGGTAAACTCTATTACTGAGATTAGTTTGCCTGACGATAACTTCGTGTAAATGGAATCACACATTATCTATCCTTATAGGTCTAACTTCTGTCCCTCACACATGAGGTGTGTGAGATTCATTCACATGTGTAGGCGTAATGTATTCATTTTCTTTGCTGTATCATATTCTAGTCTTGAATGTACCATGGTTTTTACTCCATTCTTCTGTGATGAATATTTGGGAATTTCCAGTTTGAGGCTATTACAAATTGTGCTGCTATGATGATGGTTTTACTTGTATTTTAGTGAAGTTATAGACACATCTTGTAAGGTACACGCACAGGGAGGACATTGCTAGCTCCTGGGAGGCAAATATCTAGCTTTGGTGAATATTGCCAAATCATTCTCAAGTGTTTGCGGCACTTTACCTGCTCATCCGTGAGCTGGAGCGTTCCATCAGCAGCTTGGGCTGACTCAGAAAGACCTAGGTTCAATCCATTCAACCACTTAGTAGCTGTGTCCCTTTGGGCATACCATGTAACTTCTCTGAGCCTCAGTGTCCTCATCTGTAAATTGGGCTGCTGGCAGTCCTTACCTCACAGGGCCACCGTGAGGACTAAGTGAGATGAAAGCTGACTCCCTGAGTGACCCCACTTCTTTTTCTCTCAGACTCAACAGGAAGACGCCTTCACCACCCAATGTGAAGGTCACGGGAGGACGTGCATCCCCAGCGCTCCCCTGTCTCAGGACTATAAGTCCTGGATTTTTGTTTCCAGAAACTGCCACCCTGGGGATGAGGATGGCTCTCAAGTCCCCAAAACCTGTGCTCCCACCCCACGAAGGTGGCATCTTCAGCAGTGGGGAAAGGGCTGCACTGTGCCCCCTCACTCTGGCCACTGACTGCCCTCATGACTCAGAGCCCAGTGAGGTCCCCAAGCAGAGCAGTGCAGGGTCTGGCCCCAGCCCTGGGCTCCAGACATCCCAGTCACCCCACCTGCCCCGACCCTGCTGTCTCCATCCTTCACCTGCCCCGACCCTGCTGCCTCCATCCTTCAGCCTGTGCTTGCCCCCTTCACAGCTCAGGACATTTTAGCTCCTTACATGTCACCATCGTCTGTCTCCTCAAGAGGAGCGCAGCACAAAGGCAGGGAACTCGTCAGTCTATGGATGTGTCTCTGGTATCTGGGAGATTAGAAGCTCCATACATACTTGCCCAGTGTCTTTGTGCATTTCACTAAGCAGAAGACAGCTCTGGAGGTGAGAAGAGGCCCTCCTGAGGTGACGGTGCATAGCTGCATAGCTGGCATTTCCCAATTATTCTTGGCATGCCGGGTGCTGAGCTGGACCATGGACAAGCACCCATGGGGTGCCAGATTACAGGTGTGAGCTATGGCGCCTGGTAGGAAGTATTGTTTATTTCTGTATTCAAATTTGCACTTTCTGAGTTTATGTAACTGGCAGGCACTGCTTTTGTTATTAGGAATGGTAAAGGTATAGAAAAAAATGTATAGAAAAAAGCAGAAAACCAAATCACAGCTACAATAAAATCCTCACTTTTCAATAAAATGTGCAGAGAAGAAAGACGGAAAAGAAATGCAGTAGGCCAGCACGTTGGCTCACGCCTGTCATCCCAGCACTTTTGGAGGCCAAGATGGGAGGATTGCTTCAGGTCAGGAGTTTGAGACCAGTCTGGCCAACACAGTGACAACCCATCTCTACTTAAAAAAAAAAAAAAATCAGGGTGAGTTGGCAAGCACCTGTAACCCCAGCTACTCAGGAGGCTGAAGCAGGAGAATTGCTTGGACCTGGGAGGTGGAGGTTGCAGTGAGCCAAGATCTTGCCACTGCCGTTCAGCCTGGGTGACACAGCGAGACTCCATCTCAAAAAACAAAAACAAAGAAACTTTAATAGCTGTTGTCTCTGAGGGCCGGGGACACCAGGAGACTTCCCTTTTCTGGCTGATTTTTTATATGCTCATATCCAGATTTTAACGTATTGTATGAAATTCCTTTAGCAGCCTCCTAATTACTCACCCTGCCTCCACTCCTGCCTGTGCCTGCCATGTTGTGCTAGAGAAAGCAGGTTGCTCCAAGAAAAAGTCTTTGTTCTCTGAGCCTAGTTGACCTCCGCTTACCCATCGATACTGTCCTCAAGGTCTCCCCAACTTCTTTACGGAAGGCTTCTGCAGTGGATGCTGTGACCTGCCACCCAGATGTCCACTTCAGGACCGGGGCCCTCATTCTCCAGCTGCTAGGAGACTTGGAGATGGATGCTTGCAGATGATTCTCACTCTGGGAAATGTCCCGGCTGACGGAGCTGCCTGGGGACAGCCTATCCCCACTGCCTAGTCCACTGGAGCAGGGAGAAGCAGTGGGCAATAACAGCCCAGACCGCATGCCTCCATTCAGTGCAACTCTGAAGGGTCATCTACCCTCCAGAGCTCCCTGTGGGAATGGCTAAGGCCTTTGTTGCAACTGCACCGCAGTTTCTCTGTCTAGCCAGACCTGGTAGCTTCACCCTCTCACAGGTGCTGGTCCTCAGGGCATTTCCCAAGGAAATTATTTAACCAGCAACACCTTCTTGACCTCGCAGGCCAGGGTAGAGTCCTTAATTATATGGTCGTCCAGGGCACGTATCTCCTTGGTAAGTGTTACATCCATTTGTGGTATCTGGCTACTAACTGCCTGTCCCATCAACTGTAATAGCCACAGGGTGGAAACTCTGATTTTATTCACCATTGCATTCTGCCATGCTGGCATGTGGTTTAGAAATATTTGTAGAGTGGACAAACAAGTTAATTAACCATTTAATCTAATCGCTTAGGAGGCCATCAACTTTACTTAGGGCTGCAGAATGTCTCATTATTCATTCAATAAATACTTACAAAGAGAAGCTGGATTCCTGCCTCTCAATACCAAAATAA